GGTCTGCGAGCAGTCTGGCTGCCGGCACGCGGGACGGGAGCCGCCCCGAGCTGGCAGCCCCCGGCGTTGGCAGGAACCTCCTCTGTGGTTCCTGAATTTGCTTTCAACTACAGAGATTTCTTCTTGTATTTCCTCTTCGGTAGACGTATCTGAATCTTTTCTGTTTACTAAAACAAACGTGTTAACTGCCAAAGCGTGACAGCCAAAAACCGGGGTTATAGATGAGAAAATACATGGAAGAGTTGCACGCTGCGTAACTGGCGAGGCAGATGCCGAAACCCAGCGAACCATTTCTGTCTCCAAGTGGCTCAGGAAGGAGAGAAACTTCTTGTGTGGATGGAGATGCTGTGGGTCTTGATTTCATTGCATATGTCCTCATGCCCAAGGAGAACTGGAGCAGTTTGGCCTTCTTCATAGCTGCCAAACCGCTTGAAGCACTAGACAATGCTCTAACTGAAGTTAGTCCATCCACAAACCCTAGGAAAATGTGTCCACCCATAAACGCTAGGAAAATGACTGAATGGGGATGTCAGACCTCTTGCACGCAAGCAAAGTGTCCCCATCATGTGCCCACCAGACCAGGTGGTCCATGCAGCATGGTAGATCTGCGTTGGCGTCATGGCCAAGCAGAGGCACTGCCAGAAGCATCAGCCATGAGCATGAAGCAAAGGCAGCATGTTTAAGGGAAACCCCTGGTGCTGGCTAGCTTTTTGGGCAGACCTTGGTAAGTCTTTTGAAAGTAGAAATACTTGCTGTCATCCTTAAGCTTTGCTGTATTGTAGCATAGAGGTGAATGTTCAAGAACGCTCAACTTACTTCTTCCACCAAGGAGAGTGTTTATGTAAAGTTCCCAGGTGTGTCCTCCAAAGCTGCGGAGGCGATTGTCACCCCAGTGTGGATGGGTGTGGGGGGATCTCCAGACCTGCTTCTGCCTGCTCTTTTCCCAAATGCCCCTAAGCAGGTCACTTTCCCCTCTGTCTTTCCTTTGCCTCTTCCCTCCCTTTGCCTGTCCGTAAGCGTTTGGGTGGTTAGCCCTTCGGGCACTTGCTGTGAGTTTGTACAGCATCAGGGTGCGAAGAGCGCAGGAATGGCCAGCTCAGGCCAATCTGGTGTAGTGTCCAGGATTATGTCTTGCTCCACTGCACCAGAGGAAGACATCTCTTACAATAATGGATAAATTGACTTGTCTTCACTTTATTTCGTGCTACCTTGTGTGAATTTCACTTGATCATATTGCTCAAATCTTGTCACCATCCAAATTCCTTTTCGTCTCTTTCCAGTTTGGATTATTTTACCAGCTTTGCCAAGGGGTGGGGTACAATTGCTGCATCCGTTCATGAGAAAGCAGAGATGCTCCTTAACTCTGCTCGTGATGGGAGCTGCGGCTTTGCTGTGTTCTCCTTGTGTCACCTCTGGCTCGTGATGGCTGTCTGCAGGTCTCCTGTCCAGAGCCGCTACCACTGCAGCAAGGCAGGACAGGACCTTGTTTCACTAAGTGGGACGTAAGTCAAGAGCCTCAACTGTATGCAAAGAGCTTAAAGCTAATGAAAACCTTCCATGACTTAGTGTTTTAAACCCTCATTTTGATCCTCACGGAGTATGATCCTTCACCTAAACAGCAAGCAATTCAATAAACTACTCATGCGCTTCTAAATTAGACCAGACAGAGCATTAGAAAAATGCAGCGCTGGGAACAGTTTGCCATTGGCAAGGGGACAAACAGAATGAGTCCTTGGAGATCTCTTTCACAGTTTAACATTTGTGATTCACTGCTGAAATAAAATGTGTTCTGCAATTACATTTCACTGTTTGAGGCATATAGTTGCAAGCGCTTTTAAGAAAGTCAGGTAGCATAAGACTCTTTCCTGCTTTAAAAGTTGTTCAGTTACAGCCTATGAAGAAGTCAGTGTCTGGGTAATTCTGGTATGAACGATCCCATATCTCGCAGCACGGAGGGACAGCGGTTGCTCTGTTTCGGGGTACTCACCTTAGCCGCGGCGTGACAGGGCAGCACGAGCCCAGCCAGCTCCTGCCCTGACCCTGGTGCTGTTGCAGGTGTGGATTTGCCATCTCTCCACACCCCGCAATATGCCAAAGCGGCACCACCGAAACGATGGAGCTGTCGCTCAGTGAACTCCATGGCAAATCTCTCTTTGACTTCACTGGAACCAAGATTTCACCCAAGGTCATTTCCTCCTACAGAACTCTCCCGAAAAAGGCAGAACAATGAAAAAAAAGCATTGCACGTGGTGAGCTGTTATCCCCAGCGATTCCCACAGCCGTTTTATTGCCTGAAGGAAGAAGAACATGAACCCTGGAGGGAAGAACTTGCCAAAGTATTTAACATTTCTACATCTTGCATAAAGCTAAAGGTTCCCAAAAATCTTTATTTTTAAAAATAACTGCAGAAATGTTTATTCAAGGCCTAATGTGAGGCTAAGTAGAGTCTGAGATGTGGTTATCAGGGAAAAGCAGCACAGTGGAATGAGTACCAGAGTGCTGAATTTTGCTTAGTTAAGAGACTGCAGAAGTTAGACTGAGCTGGTTTGTGTTGAAGCCAGCTTTTGGGTTAAAGGCTGGGATGACTCTCGGTGGCTGCTGTGGAGTTCGGTTCAGTTGTCAAGGTGTCTAGAAGCTCCTCTGCAAACCCGCATCTGCAGTCTTAGGTGCCTAAACCCCTTGTCCTGGCCTTGAGTCTCGGGGAAAGGAGTCCTTTTCTCTCTGAAACGTGCATGCTGAGTTAGCAGCGCTAATGGCAAACAGCGTAAACAACCACATTTTTATTCTTTTGTAGAAAAGGCTTAATAATACTCAAAAAACCCAAAAAACCTTCCTGAAATGTGTAAGTTTTGTTGTTGTTTTAATTGCCAGATAACCCGAGCGCGAGCCTCCTGGTTGAAGCCTGGTGAGCTGGCAGACACAAGGAGGGATTTGAAAGTGGCCCATGAGCAGCAGCTCTGGCAGCTGAAATGGAGCCTCCTCTAAACCACTCGGAAACCCCCAGGGCTGGAGCATCCACTTACCGCTCAGTGAGTAAATCCGCTCGTTCAGAAAGGCGTTGCTCATTAACGTTTGACAGTCTTTTACATTGCCTGATTGTCAGACAGAGAGAGTAATTAATCTGCAGCTCCAGACAGCCCGAACAGATGGGGCTCTTCTCCCAGCTTCTCGCGGCCAGACGGGACTGTTGTGTTAAGAAAATAACATCTCATCTATTCACTTCCTATTTCCCCATATGTTTTTTGCTTTCCCAGCTACCTGGAGGCTGGGTGACTAAAGTCATTAAAATAGTCAGGGCTTTTTTGGGGGGAGGAAATGAACCTTCTTAAGTCGTACCAGCGTATACAGTGTAGCGGAGGCAGCATTGCGTTTCAGCACTAACATCGTTTGTCACTTCGCGCGCTTACACGTCTGTCTGTAAAACGAAGATAGTGTGATGCACTTAGAGTACCGGGCTTCGGGGGAACTAAACAGCCAGAGGGCTTTGCATTAGAAGCAAGCGCTGAGTGCAGTTGTGATTTCGCTCTCCCCGCTCCCGTAGGAAGGTTTTCACGGT